TGAATGTCAAATGCCAAGATGATGCAGTTGTTGAAATTATCTGATAAAGATTTTAAAAGCCACTAGAAAATGCTCTAATGAGAAAAGGCAAATGTTTTTGAAATAAATAGAAAGACAAAGAAAAATCCCAGCAAAGAAGTAGGAAATATAAAGAAGAAAAAAATGGAAATTTTAGATCTGTGAAATACAGTAATCAAAATATAAAAACTCACTGCCTGGACTCAAAAGTAGAATCAAGATGAGAGGAAGGGTAAGTGTTCTTGAAGAACAATCAATAGGAATAATTCAATTTTAACAAGAGAGGAAAAATAATATCTAAAAATATATACAGGGGTGTAGGGATCTGTGAAAAAATTCTAGGAAGTCTAACACTCATATTGTCAGAATCTCAGGAGGAGGGGAGTGTGTGGGGCAGGAAACATATCTGAAGAAAGAATGACTGAAGATTTTGAAAATTTGGTGAAAAATATAAATCTAGAGATTATAAAAATTCAGAGACCCTCTAACACTATTTGTAGTAGAAAAAAATGATAAGGCTTCATCAAAGTTAAAAATGTTCGTTATGAGAAACACACTGTTAAGAGAATGAAAAGACAGGGTACAGCCTGGGAGAAAATATTTGCAAGTCACATATCCAACAAAGAATTCATATCCAGAATATGTAAAGAACTTTGAAAACCTAATAATGAGACAAGTCAACTTAATAAAAAGGGCAAAACTTTGACAGAAGAAAATGTCTGGCAGATAAGCACATCAGTCATCATAGAAATGTAAGTTAAAACCACAGTGGGACACTATGACTCTTGTATTAGAATGAGTAAAATTTTAAAAGATTGCTTCCATATCTTGGCTACTGTAAATAATGCCATAGTAAGAATAGGAGTGGGTGTATCTTTCCAAATTAGTGTTTTCACTTTCCTTGGGTAAAAAGATATGGAAACAACCTAAATGTTCATCAACTAATGAATGGATAAAGAAGATGTGATATGTGTGTGTGTGTGTGTGTGTGTGTGTGCATCGACAAGTTTTTTCTTTTTAATGGCTGAGTAATATTCCAATATTCCTATTACTCAGCCATAAAAAAGAATGGAATCTTGTCATGCACCACAACATGGGTGGACCTAGAGGGCATTATGCTAAGTAAAATAAGTTAGACAGAGAAAGACAAATACCATATCATTTCACTTATATGTGGAATCTAAAAAACAAAAGAAATGAACAAACAAACAGAAATAGACTCATTAATACATAGAACAAACTGGTGGTTGCCAGAGGGAAGGGGGTGGGGGAATGAGAAAAATTGGTAAAGGAGATTAAGAAGTACAAACTTCCATTTATAAATTAAGTCATGAGGGTGAAAAGTATAGCAGAGGGAATAGAGTCAATAATATTGTAATAACTTTCTATGGTGACTACACTTACGGTGAGCACTGCATAAAGAATAGGGTTGCTGAATCACTGTGTTATAGATGTATACGTCAATTTAAAAAAAAAGCAACAGGTAGCATGGAGGACATGGGGAGTTAGGAGAAGGCAGTTGGAGGAAATTGGAAGGGGAGGTGAACCATGAGAGACTATGGACTCTGAAAAACAATCTGAAGGGTTTGAAGAGGTGGGGGGGTGGGAAGTTGGGGGAACCAGGTGGTGGGTATTAGAGAGGGCACAGACTGCATGGAGTACTGGGTGTTGTACAAAAACAATGAATACTGTTATGCTGAAAATAAATTTAAAAAATGATTTAAAAAAGTAACAGGTGTGGTAGAGAAAGGATAAGATAATCAAAGGTTAAAAAAAAAAGAAATTGATTTACATTTAGGAAAAAAAAGGTTGAGTACATCAAGTGGTGAAGATGTGGAGAAACTGGGATTTTCGTACACTGCTGGTGGCACAATCACTTTGGAAAAGAGTTTGGCAGTTTCTTTTCTTTTTTTTATTATGTTCAATTAGCCCAAGTATAGTACATCATTAGTTTTTGATGTAGTATTCAACGATTCATTAGAATTTGACAGTTTCTTAAAAAATTAAACACCTACATGTGTTCTAGCTATTCCTAGGTATTTACCCAAAAGAAAAGAAATCACATGTTCATACATAGGCTTGTACATGTATGTTTCTAGCACCTTTCTTTGTAATAGCTAAGCACTAGAAGCAACCACCTGTTTAACAACAGATTAATGGACAAAGAGTGTATGGCTAAAAAAAAATCTGTGGAATGCTACTCAGCAATAAAAAGCAATGAACTACTGGTATATACAATATAGATAACTCAAAATAATTATGCACAGTGAAAGGTAATCACAAGAGTATATGCTCGGGGATTCCATTTATATAAAATTATAGAAAATGGAAACTAATGTAATAGTGAAAAAATTCCGATTGATGGTTGCTTGGGGATGGAGTTGTTCGTAGGGAGGAGGGATCATCAAGGGGCACAAGGAAACTTTAAGGGATTGTGGTTGGATACATTCACAATTTTGATTTGGTGTGATGGTTTACCAGATGTGTATGTATATTGAAACTTAACAAATTGCACATTTTAAACACAGGCAGTTTATTTTTTTGGTAATCTCTCCACCCAACATGGGGCTTGATCTCACAACCCTGAGATCAAGAATCTCATGCTCTTTCAACTGAGCCAGCCAGATGCCCCTATAGAACATTTTATATATAACAATCACTGTAAAAATCATAAGGAAATTTTGAGAAGATCAAAATACAAACTGAGGGTTGCTGGAGGAGACGGGGGTGGGGAGATGGGGTGGCTGGGTGATAGACATTGAAGGAGGGTAAGTATTGTAATCACCACCGTGTGTTGTGTAAGACAGATGCATCACAGACCCGTATCCTTGAAACAAATAATACATTATATATTAATTTTTAAAAAGCACATGCAAAGTTACAATTTAGGCAACTACTAAATCACACAACCAATGCAAAATTTTATTTTGATTTTTATTATAGCATTTATTATAGCATTTTTATTATAGCATTATAGCATTTATTACAGCATATAGAAAATAATGAACAATTAAGGAACACATTTCATTTTTATAGATATTGTTTATGGGGAGCCTGGGTGGATCAGTTGGTTAAGCGTCTGTCTTCAGCTCAGGTCATCATCTGTGGGTCCTGACATCAGGCCCTGCATCAGGCTCTCTGCCTGGTGGGGAGTCTGTCCCCCCACCGTGTGCATGAACATGCTCTCACTCTCTCTCAAGTAAATAAAATAAAATCTTTTTTAAAAAAGATACTATCTAAATTCTGTAAAATATTTTCAAAGTACAAGTTTCATTACACCCCAAAATTTTACTCCTTTAACTGCACACTTTGTTTCACTGATTTAGACATCAATAAAAACAAATGATTACATGAAATCACAGCTGAAGTAACTCAAGTTGGTCTCTGTCTTTATAATCACTATGCTATAATTTTTAATTTAGAATCTCCTTTTTAAATATGGGATACGTAGATTTTTTTAAAAGATATTTTTTATTTATTTGACAGAGAGAGAGGTCACAAGTAGGCAGAGAGGCAGGCAAGAGAGAGGAGGAAGCAGGCTCCCTGCTGAGCAGAGAGCCCGATGCGGGGCTCAATCCCAGGACCCCAGGACCATGACCTTGAGCTGTAGGCAGAGGCTTTAACCCGCTGAGCCACCCAGGCGCCCCTGGGATACGTATATTATATATGACCACAGGGATTGCAGTCTGGACCTCAAATGATTCTTAATGGTTAAGAACTTACTGTAAGGAAGAAGAGCCTGGGCCCAGGGCCAACTATTTAATGAGGATTTATCAAATTAACTTCCTTATAGAATAAGATGATTATTAAAACATGAATTCTAAAAATTGACTAATTTGGACTTTACATATATATTAAAACTTAATGTTAACCACAACAATCTTTTAAGAACTTAGACCAAAAGAGGATTTTTGGGGGGGAAAATTTAGAAATGGTTGGTTATGGCGCTAATAAAAACAAGACTGCCTTTTACTGGGTTTTGTTGTTCTTATAATAAAATTCTCTGTGGACACTGTTTCCCTTTATTGCTGCAGGTGGACAGACCATTCCCACTGCCCTACCCATGGTAAGCCACTCCTCCACCTCAACCTTCTTAACGACAAAGTCGCCTAATTGCTCTTGGGTTTGTGACCTCCAAACTCCATTATTTTAGTGTGTGGGGGTGCTGTTGGGGACTTTCTATAGGGCGAGCTTTTTTGTCCATCTGAAGGCCTTTAGTGGCTTACAGCATTGGGTGGGGTACAACATACATCACAATGGTATAGGCCACCCAGAGGTGGTAAGGTACCCAGGAGGTGTCTAGGTGACCTGAGAGTGCTTTTGTTGTCTACCTCTTTGGGTGGAGCATCACTGTCACCCACCACACAGTAAACCCTCTTCCCATCTGGGTTCTGGTAACCTCAACTCTGACTTTCTGCCTCGTCTTTACACCAAACACACATAGAACCATCAAAGCTCTTTCTTCTTGCCTGTGGGATAAAGTGTTGGGAAAATTTGTCTTTAGTTTCCAGCCCTCACCCAGTCCTTATGCCCAGTGTCTGGCTAACTGTGGACTTGCCAGTCTGGCCCCCAACTGTCCAGGACCTCACCACCCTCCCTACTCACATGCCTGTCTATTCCCTTCATTTTCATCATCCGTCACCGACACACATACACATGACCCTGTCACAATTGGTTGATTTTCCTTTTATCATCATCTGTGTAGCTCTTTGCTCTAGATTAGCTCCCTACGTGTTTCACCAGTTCTCCACAGCTACTTCATAAGATGCTGTAGCTAGTTCTAGGTTTTGGGCCCAGGCTCGGCATTTGCTGGCTGCGCAAAATGTTACTTGGGTTGGTTGCATTTTCCAGTGCCCCTTGATCCCGTTCTCCCCATTTTCACTGCGTGCCTTAGTCCCCTTGTGGTAGCAGATGAATATCATTGGCCTAATTGCCACCTTACGAGTTCTTGAGCAAGAGGGGGGTGACTGAGAAGTTTTTTTCCTCAAATTCCTTTGAAGGGGTCTTTTTGCCTTCGTGGTTTTCTTCTGGACCTGGAAAGGCGATAGGGTGAATCGGCATGGCATTTGTTTTGGGGGAAGAGGATGGGAATGTATAGGAATGGGGCTTCCTGAGTAGGAATGTGGGTTGAGGAAGCGATTTGGGTCAGGTAAGGGTAGGGCAGGGGGCCTGGGGAGACCTGTGGGGAAGGAGAGCATGGATAGGATCATCTGACCTTGCCGCTGCTTCTGGGCTTGGGTTGACATGGACTCTTCTTTTCCTTCTTCCTTTTGGGCCTTGGGGCTGCTTTTTCCGTGCTAGTGTTTGGTTGTTCCATATTTATGCTAGGCTCCTCTGATGTGCAGATCTTATAAGCCATGTGCTTCCCAGTGGTCTACCCCAGGGCTCCTGACCAATGAGGAGTGATACCCTTTAGCTTTGTTTGGTCATTGAGCCAGTGGTAGTGTTGAGGTGGTGGGGACATCACAAAACACTGTTCCTGACACCTTTGTGGGGGCAGGGGAGGCCAAGATGCTGTGATTGGGGAAAAGGAGGGTTTCCTTAATACCCCCTAAATATCCATCCCAAAGTGACCTGCTACCCCCTCTTCATTTCACCATGTTCAGTTCCAGGAGGTGATATGGCCGGGCGTGTTTCCTCCAGGACGTTCCCAGAAGCCCCTTTGTTCAGTGGTTCATTTGGTTCTCTCCCATTCTTTCCCATAACCTATGATTTTTGGATATCTTACCTAAAATCTCTCCAAGGCAATGTGGTCTTATTTAATTTTCTGGGGAGATATGAATCATTCCACTTTCCTCCAACAAATTTCCCTTTTGTGCCTATTTTTGTATGGCTCATGAAGTAGTAAAGTTTTTTTAAACGTTTTTAAATGAGAAAAAAATCAAAAGGAAAATATTTCATGGTGTGAAAATTATATGAAATTCAAGTCTCGGCGTCCATAAATGAAGTTTTATGAAAACATATACACTCATTCATTTAAATATTGTCAATGGTTGCTTTCACCTACTCCAGAGTTGAGTAGTTGTGACATTGTACAACCTGCAAGACACAAAATATTTACTGTCTGTCCCTTTACAGGAAGAGCTTGCCGACTCCTGCTCTTTTCTGTTCCATTGATCTATTTGCTTATCCTTATGCCAGTACCACACTGTCTTGATCACTGCAATTTTATAATAAGCACTAAAATGAGCTAGAGCAGCTTATCCAACTTTGCTCTTGTTTAGAGCCCTTCGTACATTCATATACATTTTATATTTATTATCTTTTTATTTTTATTTTTTAAAAGCTTTTATTTATTTATTTGAGAGAGAGTGGGCATGAGTGGGGGTGGGGAGGAGAAAAGGGAGAGGGAGGAGCAGACTCCCTGATAAGCCAGGAGTCGAGAGTGGGGCTCGATCCCAGGACCCCTGGATCGGGACCTGAGCAGAAGGCAGATGCTTAACTGACTGAGCCACCCAGGTGCCCATGTATAATTTTTTAAAATATTTTTTAAATTTTTTTATAAACATATAATGTATTATTAGCCCCAGGGGTACAGGTCTGTGAATCGCCAGGTTTACACACTTCCATGTATAAATTTTTAAATCAAATTTTCTATAAATGTTAAAGCCTGCTATGATTTTATTGTGATGGTGGTGAATTGATAAATCAATATAGGGAGAATTAAAATCTTTATTAAAAGATTTTATTTATTTATTTATTTGTTACAGAGAAAGAAAGAGCAATCACAAGCAAGGGGAGAGGCAGGCAGAGGGAGAAGCAGACTCCCTGCTGAGAAAGGAGCTCGATGTGGGACTTGATTCCAGGATCCTGGGATACATACCCGAGCCAAAGGCCGACTGAGCCAATCAGGCTTCCTGGGGGAATTAAAATTTTAACAATGTTGTGACTTTTGACCTGTGAACATTAATCTCTCCACTTACTTAGGTCTTTAATTTCTGTCTGCAATGTGTGTCAATTTTCAATGTACAGCTCTTATGCGGTTTTTGTTAAATTGATTCCTAAGTATTTTTTATTTTGAATTAGTATTTTTTGTATTTGTTGGATAAATACCTAATCGTGCAATTGCTGGGTTGTAGGGTAGTTCTACTTTTAACTTTTTGAGGAACCTCTATACTGTTTTCCACACTGGCTGAACCAGTTTGTATTCCCACCAACAGAGCAAGAGTGTTTCTTTCTCTCCACATCCTCACCAACGCCTGTTGTTTATTGTGTTGTTGATTTTAGCCATTCTGACACGTGTGAGGTGATATCTCACTATAGTTTAGATATGTTTCCTGAGGCAAGGGAAATAAAAGCAAAACTAAACTATTGGGACTACGTCAAAATAAAAAGCTTCTGCACAGCAAAGGAAACAATCAACAAAACTACAAGGCAACATACGGAATTAGAGAAGATATTTACAAAGGAAATATACAATAAAGGGTTAGTATCCAAAATATATAAAGAACTTATGCAACTCAGCATAATCCAATGAAAAAATGGGCAGAAGACATGTATAGACATCTTTCCAAAGATAACACAGGTAACACATGAAAAGATGCTCAAGATCACTTACCGTTAGGGAAATGCAGGTCAGGATAAATTTTTTAAAATAAAATTGCAGGGTGCCTGGGTGGCTTAGTCATTAAGTGTGTGCCTTAGGCTCAGGTCATGCTCCCAGGGTCCTGGGATCGAGCCCTGCATCAGGCTGCCTGCTCGGTGGGAGCCTGCTTCTCCCTCTTCCACTCCCCCTGCTTGTGTTCCCTCTCTCACTGTCTCTCTCTCTCTCTCTCTCTCTCTCTCTCTCTGTGAATTAAATAAATAAATAAAATCTTTAATAAAAAATTTAAAAAAATTGCTATGGGGCACCTGAGTGGCTTAGTGGGTTAAGACTGACTCTTGATTTTTGCTCAGGTCATGATCTCATGGTCCTGGGTTGGAGCCCTGCTCCAAGCTCCACACTCAGAACAGAGTCTGCTTGTTCCTCTCCCTCTGGGCTTCCTCCAGCTCACTCTCTCTCTCAAATAAGTAAATAAAATCTTTAAAAAAATAAATAAAATTGTCATATTTGGTTTGTTAATATTTTGTTAAGAATTTTTGCATCAATTGGGACACCTGTGTGGCTCAGTCGTTTAAATGTCTGCCTTCAGCTCAGGTCATGATCCTGGGGTCCTGGGATTGAGCCCCACATTGGGCTCCCTGCTCGGCAGAGTCTGCTTCTCCCCCTCCCTCTGCCCCCCTTCCTCTCTGCTCCTTCTCTCTCTCTCAAATAAATAAATAAATTCTTTAAAAATTTTTGCATCAATTTTCATGAGCGATTTTGGTCTGTAATTTTCTTTCTTCTTAATTACTTTGTCAGACTTAGATATCAAGATCATGCTGACCTCCTACAATCAGTGTAGAGGAGTTTTTGCCTGTATTTTCTGAAAGAGTTGCCTAAGATTGGTATTGAATTTTTCTTAAGTTTTTGGAGTATTCTCCAGTGAAGCCACTGGCTCTTGGAACTGTCTTGTGAGAAGGTTTTATGTTTTGAATTAATTTTGATATTTGCATTATTTAAAAATTCTAGTCTTATCTTAGTTTTGGTAAATTGTTTTTCAAAGAATTTTTCCATTTCATCTAAATTGTTGAATTTGTTAGCATGAAGTCATGCATAATATTCCCTTTGTAGTTTTTAAATATCTATAGCATGTTTAGTGATGCCACCTCTATAATTCCTGAAATTTATAATTTGTGTTTTGAGTCTTTTTCCTTGGTTACTTCTGGCTAGGCTTCTATCAATTTCATTAATCATAAAAACAACCCTACTTTTGGCTTTTATGATTTTTCTTTAATGTTTCATATTTTTCTATTTTATTGGTTTGCTCCTTGTCTTTTTCTTTTTTTCTATTTAATTTGAATTTACTTTACTTTTCTTTTTATAGCTTCTTAAAGTAGAATCTTATACCATTCATTTTAAACCTTTCGTCTTTTCTAATATAAAGTTAAAACTACAAAATTGCTACTTAGGAATGCTTTAGCCACAGCTCCTAAAATTTGATACATCGTGTTTATGCACTTTGATTTATCTTCTAATTTCACTTGTGATTTCTTTTTAAACCATGGGTTTATTAGAATCATATTTCTAATTTCCAAATATTTGAGACTTTCTATTTATGTTGTTGACATTGATGTCTAATTTAATTCTACTGTGGGTAGAGAACAAGTTTTTATGATTTAAATCTTTTTAAAATATATTGAAACTCATTTTATGGCCCAGAGTTAGGTCCGTCTTGGCATTGGTCAAAGTTGGTTGATAGGAGTTTTCAAATGTTATACATCTTTACTGATTTCTTTGTCTTCTTGATTTATCAATTATTAATAGAAGAGAGTTTAGATCTCCAGGTATGATTGTGGAGTTTTCAATCTACTGTAAAAATTTTTTTTAAAGATTTTGTTTATTTATTTGACAGGCAGAGATCACAAGTAGGCAGACAGGCAGGCAGAGAGAGAGGAAGGGAAGCAGGCTCCCCGCTGAGCAGAGAGCCCGATGCGGGGCTCCATCCCAGGACCCTGAGATCATGACCTGAGCCGAAGGCAGAGGCTTAAACCACTGAGCCACCCAGGCGCCTACTGTAAATTTTTTAAAAATCCAATGAATTTTTTATTCAGGTATTATATTTCTCAGTTCTAGGATTTCCATTTGGTTATTTTTATAGCTTCTGAATCTCTTCTGAACTTTCCCATCTTTTTTTTTTTAAAGATTTTATTTATTTGACAGAGAGATCACAAGCAGGCAGAGAGGCAGGCAGAGAGAGAGGGTAAAGCAGGCTCCCTGCTGAGCAGAGAGCCCGATGCGGGGCTCAATCCCAGGACCCCAAGATCATGACCTGAGCTTAAGGCAGAGGCTTTAACCCACTGAGCCACCCAGGTGCCCCGGAACTTTCCCATCTTTTCATCCATTCTTTTCCTATATACATTTTTTATTGACATAAAATTCACAAAACAGAATTATCTATCCATTTTATTTATTTATTTTTAAAGATTTTACTTATTTATTTGACAGACAGAGATCACAAGGAGACAGAGAGGCAGGCAGAGAGAGAGAGGGGAAGCAGGCTCCCCGCTGAGCAGAGAGTCTGATGTGGGGCTCGATCCCAGGACCCTGAGATCATGACCTGAGCCAAAGGCAGATGCCTTAACCCACTGAGCCATCCAGGCGCCCCTATCTATCCATTTTAAAATGTGGAATTCAGTGGCATTTAATAAATTCACAGTGTTGTGCAACCAAAAATCCCCATCTACTTCCAAAATATTTTCATAACCCCAAACAGAAATCCTGTACCCATTAAGCAATCACTTTCAACTTCCCCCAGCACCTGGGAACTACTAATCTGCTGTAGATTTGACTACTGTA